CACATGCAATTTCATCCTTATACTCCCTCTTGAACGACTCCTCTACCCTCCCACCGACACACTCTATGAGAGCATGGGAACGTGATCTCTCAATATCCTTCACACAACAGGAGTGGGAACGAATGAATTCCCTACTTTTAGGAAGCTCCATGAATGTTCAAGTACAGGAAACTAACTATAAAGTTCGCTCACGCTGGTACAAAACCCCGGCCCTACTCCACCGCATATACCCAGATGCCCCTGACCGGTGCTGGCGCTGCGACAGAGAAGTGGGCTCTCTATTACACATTTGGTGGTCGTGCCCAATGATCTCGCCCTTTTGGACGTCGGTCCACACCCTGATTAAAACCATAACCGGAGTCTCGATGGAATTCTCCCCAGCTAGCCTCCTATTATACCATTTCGATGACACACTCCATGTTTCTAAAAAATCCCTCTCAATTCACCTACTGAATGGGGCAAAAACGGTGATTCCTAGACACTGGAAGTCGCCATCCCCACCAACGATTCGGGAGTGGCTCTCCCGAATAGATACAGTAGCGGCCATTGAGGAACTTATCCACTCTGGCAGAGATGACATGTCCAAGTATCTTAAAACCTGGACGTTGTGGCATTTATTCCGAGATTCGGAGGCATGTAAGGATTTAAGACGGTAACACTACTCCTATCTGCTCTGTTCTATGCAGTGCCTTCCTCCTTTCCATCTCTCCCTACTTATGGGTCGGACGGGACCCCTTCCCACTCCTTGTCTTCTCCCCCCACCTTCCTCCATTCCCCCTATTCTTTCATCTACCCACACTTCCAGACCTGCTTCCTCCTTTCTCATAACTGCCCCCCCCTGATCTCCAAACCCTCCTGGCAATGACAGCATCTCATAAACAGTAATCGCCCCCGGTATCCAAACCAGATCGGACTAGCAACGAACAACCTTTGGATAGTACGACAGCTAAACCCTCCTTGTTATAAACCTTTCCAAATGTTTAGTGATCATAGTACTCCCACAGTGTTAGTGGGATCTGTTAATTCTTTGGCCTGCCCGATTGAAGTATACATGTATTCCTTTCCATCCTACTTTGTGACTTAATGTGATACCAGTAAAATGGAATCTGAGCTCCCATGTTGGATCCCACCCAACCAATGCTATTGTACCCCCCTTTCTTTCGGTTTATTGCTTTGTAACACAGTTTTGGATATCACACGGCTGTTTTTGATTATTGGTTTAATGCCTATGTACCTGTCATTGTCTAGGCTCTAAACAATAAAAAAAAATTTACTTGTGAAAAAAAAAAAAATGAGGAACAATGGTCTTGTTATCTCCTTGTTCAATTCTTTGAGTACCTTGGGGTGTAGATTATCAGGTCCTAATGCTTTATTTGCATTTAGTAATTTAAGCCTATGTTGTATCCCCGATTCAGTCAACCATTCCGGTGTATTTCCTGTTAAATTATGTGTTTTATCCTGTACATTAAACCCGTCTTCCACCCTACGCTACAAGAAAAGGAATATGACATTAAAAAAAATCATATTTCTAACATAGATCCACTCTTTTACATCTTCACCTTAAAAGCCATAGGACCTTGTCCCAGCACAAACTTCAGGAAACCATAAACCTTGAATACAGGCAACAGGCCTGGACAACTTGGTATTTAATATGGGCAGGCCCTTTGAGAATCCCTTTTTCTCTCACTTTTTATTGGTGGACACAGGATACCACTGGCATGTCTGAAGGGCACCCCTCGGAAGAAGAAAACAATTATGAGCAACAGCCAATAGCATCATGTTCTGCTGATCGCACAGCCGCTTGCAAGAACATTTGGCCAAAGAAGGCCAGGGCCACCACCTCCAGGGTGCAGGTTTTTTTTTATAGCTTAGATTGATGTCCTCAACCTGCTGGTTTGGAAACACCTCAGTTGTGAGCTTGATAGATGTGCTACCATCTGTGGCTCTTTAAGGTGGCTCTTTAAACCTCAGGCTGTCATCTCCTTAAAGTGAGGGGAAGGGTCTCATTGATCTCACCTTCACTGTAAGAAGACTGTCCGTAGGTACACAGACTATGCATAACAAATGACCCTGTGTGTTAGTTGAGTTGAAACAAGTATATTCCAGTTTGTAGAAAAAGTTAAAAGAAGCATACCTTTAGTGTGGCACAGGCAGTGTAGTTGACATTTGGAAGTATTTCAACAGGCTCTTTAAACATCACCCTGAATGTGCTGGAGGAACCATCACAACTAAAGCCTGTGTCATTCTGTCCTAGCACAGTGTTGCTGTCGGTGTGAATAATCTAAAAGATCCCCCAAAAAAATAAAAAATACATGTATTGTAAGTATACCTTTAGTTTTATACATTTTCATAAAAGCTTTATATCCATTTTTACATCAAAAGATTAAAAAATAAACTGTACATTACTAGGGCTATTCATAAAAGGGTGAAGAGTTTGGAGCAGGCAGGAGAAATGAACAATCTAGGACAACATAGTGGAACTGGAAAGTGATCTGAATTGGAGAATTTTTCCAAATCACCTATGTTGGCCTAGATTGTTCACTTCTCCGGCCTTCTCTAAACTCTTCACCCTTTTGTGAATAGCTCCGTTGGCATCAGCATAAAAAACAGCCTAGTAGTTTTTGTGAGGGGTTACTGCAAAAACACCCTGACCAGTAACCTAAAGCATAAGCGAACGGCAACATTTAACCCTTTTGCTGCCAGACTATTTTTTTCACACACAAATTAAAATGCACATTTTCACATGACAATGAGCTTAAAGCTCAAACACCGGGCACAAAAACCTTTATTTAAATATATTCGTGAATAGGAACAAAGGATAAAAATCTACTTGTGCACCAAGTGCCTTTACTCGGCCTGTCACTACTGTTCCGCACATAGCCTGTGCAGAGAGCAGAGTTGTGATTGTGAGGGGGACCCAGCAGGTTCTCCCACTACAAGTTGCCTGCAGAACTGCAGGAGGAGGATGGATACAAGACCAATCACCTTGTGCAAGGAGAAAGAACAGCAGTGACCTGTCTTTAGTACAGGAAGCTCCTGTACAGTTGAGAATGAAAGAGAGAAGCAGAATTTTGAGCACTTGGATTACATATGGTTTAGCAGGACAAAACACAGCACTGGATTAAATCACCACAGCAAATAATGGACAAAATACACTATGTTGAGCACCTGTCACTTTTTTATATTGAAATTTTGCACAGAGTAAATTATGCTGGTTTAATAAATTTAGTAATTTGTAGAAGTATTGTAGATTATTGCACTGCAGCACACACACACTTATATTATATATATATATATATATATATATACACACACTGAGTGGCACCCACGTTCAAAGGCTGTTAAATCGTGTTGTTTACCCATATCTTCAGAAAAAAAAAATCACTTCTACTATCGTGGTAAACAACCTGCTTCCCTATTTATAATGGTCTGGCCCTCTAGCAACTTCAGCGCAAAATTATAGCTAATTTGCCTACAAACGTCAGATGGTCATAATAATCTGGCCACTCAGTGTATATATATATAATCTAAATTAAAAAGGAGAACTATGAGGTGAGTGACTTCCACTCATCCTCATAGTTAGAGCCGACCTGTGACAAAGAAGCTGTCGATCGGGAAAGTGAGCAGAAACATGCACCGATCCACTCACTTCCCGATCGTCTCCCTGCAAGTGAGCGGAGACTGTCAGTCACCTCTCCCCGTAGGGATTCCCTCCTCCCCAATCCTCCAGCGCTGAGTGGAGGAATGAACGGGGGAGGGGGCGGGCACAGCTGGCTCTGCCTCTTACGCAGCTGGGTGGATCTCGACAGTATTGTCAGGATCTGTCCCAGCTGCGGCGCTCTCAGTATACGATATACTGAGATTTAGGTCATTGGAGGAGGTTAGTATATGTCCTCCCATGACCCTAAAAAGAACTATGGGGAAAAACACTTACCCCATAGTTCTCTTAACGGAAAATTCAGATTTGTTGCATTGAATAAAAGGAAGTACCAGCCCTACGTTTGCCACCACCTCAAATCCATAAAAATGATAATCTGGTGTTCCAATTTAGATGTAAAGGGTTAGAATCTGTCTGATTTAAACCTCTTACTTAGGGTCCTGTGTCCTTTTTGCCATTGACATGTGTGCTGTCGTAATGTCATTATTAAAAAATAGATCTCTGAGCCTGGCAAGAGATTTTTTTTCTTTTTCATTCTTCATTTTAGAGTTTTTCAAATTACAGATAATATAAACATAACAAATATTCAACAACAGAAAGAAGGGTAAATAACATATAGGAGGAACAAAAGAAGGCAACAATCATAGTTTAGGGCAACATTCAAATCTAGTATGAACGGTACTAGCAAATTGGAAAGTGACAAAATGAGTGGAAATAAAACTTTTAAATCAGGCATTGCGTCTTGTCATATTTCTCCTCATGTATCACTTCCCCCTCGCTTTTAGATTGTAAGCCCTCACGGGCAGGGCCCTCCTTACCATCTTGTCTTGATTTGTATTGTGATTGTAATGTCTTCCCTACATTGTAAAGCGCTGCTCAAACTGTTGGCGCTATATAAATCCTGTATAATAATAATATTTCTACTGCTGTAGTGGTGCCTATGATTACTTGTGGATAGGGAGAGTCTAAGCCTATTAAGATACCCATATGAGTTGTGATGAATGAGGAACTTTGGGATCTGGTCAGAACAAAAATGTGTTTCTTGAATAAAAAACACACCTGGGCCCATAGTTGCTTCCATTCGTTCAAGACCATAGTCCTCTTCTCAGCGGTGTTGAGTCCCCTGGCATTGAGGGAAACTAGCTCGCTACCTCAAGGTAGCCATACTCCCACGGATGTACCCGGGGCCAAAGAAGAAAAGCCTCACATAAACAGGGGACAGGCACCCAGGACCCGATGATGGGGTAAAAAGGTGGGGCGATAGACACTAAGTGGTAGAAGCTAAGGGAAGGATAAGAAGCACAGGGGGACACTGCAACAAATCAAAGAGATGAAAAGAGGACAAAAAAGGAAGAGAAGGAAATTAGTAGGATGGGAAATACAAGAGAATGGAAGAAGTAAATAGGGGTGTAAAAGGGAGAGAAGTATGGGATCCAGATAGTCAGAAATCCCCAACACAAGATATAGGCGAAAAGATTCTGGTAGGCAGTGCACAGTATGGGTGTACCTACAGGAGGATGAAGTGGGGCACGGTAGTAGGCCGCCCCCACTCCATGCGCCCATCACTACATTGAGCGCCATATGGTCAGAAAGACACATACAGTGTACACGCATAAAACATCACACAGAAACATATCATAATGTACAATGTATAGTAAGTCGAACAGCGTAAAGGACAAGGCCTGCAGGTAGTAAAGAGGGATCCAGTCCAGGAGAGGATGCAGGGCAGCATTGTGAGGGACATGCAGCAGTCACAAAACTTACAACAAGGGAGGGTTAGGTGCATAGGTGGGCACCCAAAACATTAGGGATAAGCGGTAGGAGCATGAGAAGTCCCACCAGGAAGAAGAGGGGGGTCCACAAAGCCAAAGTGAAATGTCACTGTTCCAAGCAAGGCTTGGCTTTATTGGGCTTTTCAGGCTCTTCTGCACGGTACTGGCTTTGTCAAGAAATGTAGGCTGACTTTTTTCATGTGTTCTGGACTTGTCCAGCAAAAGTAGACTATTGGAAGGTGGTTGGTTGTTTATTGCAGGATCTGACTTCTTTCTCTCCAACCAACCCCCCAACTGGGTTTACTGGGTTCAAAGAGCACCTGACCGCAGCAAGAGCCACTCACACTTTGTTGTGAATTCTTCTTTTCTATGCTCTTAAAGGATATTCTCCTGAATTAGAAGAAAATAACTGCACCTACCATGGATAGGTGGGAGAGACTACTTAACTCAATGCTGCGCTTTTAAAAGGCTACTTACACCAGTAGAGGCTGTCCATTAAAATTTGACAAAGTCTGGGCTCTGCGGATACCGACACATGAGCTGTCCTTTAAGATTATGTATTTCTTCATGTATGCAATGCTTTCATTTGGGCTGTTTGGTTGTTTATGTTAATGGATGTTAATGTTTGATGTACTCTCCCCGTGGGTTGGTAATATTTGTTTTACCTTGTTGTTTGTAAGTTTGGTTACTATGGGGTTGTTGTAAGTGGGATACTGCGTCAGGACCTGTATTTGGGTTATATGTTGTGAAGTATATGCGATTTGTATACAGATACCTTTTGATAAAACTTGAATAAAACAGAATTTTAAAAGAAAAAAGAAAAAGGTTAAAAATAGAAAATGCAGTAAGTCAGCCACTGAAACAGAAAATAGGCCCAGCTGTTAGAATAACATATCCATGGATCACGGTATTTACAACTAATGAGCCCCGAGTCATTCATATGTAAATGGAGAGGTCAATTTATAAGCAAATTATGATGCGCGAGCCTCCCCCCACAATTATAGAAGGTGGTACAGTCCGGGATTCTGGCAGTGTCTCCTCGTATAAAGGGTATTTCACTTCAGCTGTTCTCCATCCAGTGTCTGCTTTTTCTGTGTGGTATCTATTTGGTAACATGTCAGTGATCAGGGTCTGTCATATTTGGGGAAGATGGAGAGATTGTGTGTACTACTGATGTACAGCAACTGTAATGCATTTGTGGTCTAGTACAGCAATACAGATTGTATCATTTTTTATTACCCTTTCACAATCTGAAAGTGAGCAAACAAAGCCAGTAATACTGCATAAAAGTTGGGTTTAGTTTTGACAATATCAGCAAACTGTTGGCGCTATGTAAATCCTGCATAATAATAATTTGGTGCTAAAAGGAATTAAACTATAAGGCCTATAATTATTATTCTACATAATGTAATATGAGCATCCTGGAAGCCATCTTTGTTCTTTATATCAGTTTATGAGGTGAATTTGAGTTCATGGTTTCTGGACAAAGACTATCAGCAATTCAGACCCTTACAGCATACATTCCCAGGTTGTAAATTATGGGGGTGCAAGACGACAACAACAATGAGATAAGAACTGACCATGGTACCAGACTAAGTTATACTGAGATTGATGGAGTTGCCATTTCTCAAGCTTAACAAAAAGGACAAAAGAAACAGTCTCCATTATATTTTTTTCCCTTTTCTCATCAAAAAAAAAAAGAGCTCACAATAGAAGTTACCTTGTATACAGTATTATTATTTGAAAGGAATGGTATTACCAATAATTTCAATTGTATTATTATTGCATGAAGCATCTAAATATTTGCTTGAGTAATTTTATATTTAATAATATATACTCGTATTAAACGAG